AAAGTTACTCCTTCTTTCTTTGCGTGAACATTTGGGCGGTGTTATGCAAATCTTCCCACATAGTGACGTAGATATGTGGGGGCGTGTTCGAACGAGCCGTTTTAGGTAGGTGTGGCTAACTCTTAACTTTTATAAAGAATATCTCTTTGGATTTGAGACTTTAGTCTTTGCAACTTTACAGATCTTCTTTATGCACCAAGAGCTTGTAACACTCTAAAGAGAAAGGAAAAAATGAAATTGCATCATATGACCCCTTTAAAGCTCATGTTTTTCCTCATGTTTGAGCTTCATTAGCTACATCCATGTACAATATCAAATAGCGCTTAATGGAAACTGCTCTGCATTACACCGGAACTTTTTCCCATCTTGTCTGTTTGTCAAACACCTTTTCTTGATATCTCATTGCTGAAACTGCTCTTTCATAACTTGAGCTGAATATGCTGAGGTCATCTCTTCTAGTTTGTTGTTGCTTTACATAATTTTCTCTCTTAATGAGCACAAAGGGTGGCACAGTGTTATTTTATTATCATTGAGATACTATTATAGTTTTTATTTTTTTATATTCATTTTAAAGTTTTAGCAATTTTGTATGTTTTGTCATTTTATTAGTTTTTTTTAATATGTCTATGTAGTTTTTATTTTTTATTTCAGTTTTATTTTTATTTTAGTACAGCAAGTAAAACATAAAATGCTGCTTTGGCAAGTAGCTGAAATACAATAAGTTTAAATTTGGTTTTATTTTAGTTAACATTTATTTTAAGCATGTTTTTTTTTTACACCAATAATAACCCTGTGGTGATGAGTCGTACTTGGGAAATTGCAAAAAAAAAAAAATATTTACAAATAATAAGCTACATCTGCAAGTCTCCCATTGATTTGAACAGGCTATGATGTTAACTTCTGTTAATTTCAGAATACTGCTGGCCCTGTGCTTTTTTTGGTAATAGTAATACATTTGAGTGTTTTATTTTAAGGACATATTTATTTAACATTGTACAGTAAACGATGTTTGAAAATGTTGGATGGCCATTTACTATCAAACTGAACATGTGGATCCTAAAGCTCCACTGTTTTTGAAGGTAATAATCTGCAGTTATTCCCTGTTACTCGTGCACTTCAGTTCTGGACTGAATTAGGCCATACAGACTGAAATATTTCATTGAACAGTACATAGTAGAGATGCTCTACAGGGTCTTTTCATGAAATGGCTATGATATGGATATGGCTCATTTCAACAAATAATGGCTGGCTGGCAGAATGTAGGGCAAAAGCAGCTAGTCATGTTGAGGGGAGAGATGCTGCATTTATAGTGAAGAACTCCCTCTGCTGGCAATATTATGCATTACTCCTCAGAACGAGTAGATCCCAAATACAGCAGCACAGTGTGTTAAACAATAATGATGATAATAAAAATACAATATTTTATTTTAAGTCATAATTTATATTTAATACGCTTAATAAAACCAAAAAAAATTCTAAGTTGCCAAATACACCAATTTGGACACAAAATGTGACCCTGGACCACAAAACCAGTCATAAGTAGCGCGGGTATATTTGTAGCAATAGCCAAAAATACATTGTATGTATTATGACAAAAATCATTAGGTTATTAAGTAAAGATCACGTTCCATGAATATATTTTGTAAACTTCCTACCGTAAATATATCAAAACTTAATTTTTGAATAGTAATATGCATTGTTAAGAACATCATTTGGACAACTTTAAAGGCAATTTTCTCAATATTTTGATTTTTTTTTTTTTTTTTGCACCCTCAGATTCCAGATTTTCAAATAGTTGTATCTCAGCCAAATATTGTCCTATCCTAACAAACCATACATCAATGGAA